GCGTCAAGCAAATCGTGGCAAAATCGGGCTAAAATCTTGTAGTCTGAACCAGGCATAAATGAAAGTATCATTCAGCCGGTCAGTGTTCTGTCATGAGATCTCACTATATTGTTTGCGATTGTGATCGCTGAATAATTACACTTACTCAATCACTGTTGTTTTAATAGAGAAATAGACTATTGCAATTATGGAATTAGTGGAATTACTAGGAATTTCACTGTTATAATATTTTTCGTTTGTTTTAGCTGTTTTCATAATGTAGAGAGAGATTGCATAAGTCTTTGGTGTTGATTTATATAATAAAAAGCCTATAATAAATCAGTACACTAGATGAGGTAAAATACACCATGTATGTGTCCACATTCTATTGATTTGTGCTTACTGGAGAAAGTGCAATACCGGAAATGCAAAAGCAAATTTTTCAAATGACAACAATCATTACGATTATAATTTTGAGGAAAAAAAATAATTTTTATCAGTTTAACCATTATACAGAATGACGAAAATGTGACTAATATTTAATTGACTGAAAAACCTGACTAAAATGCTGATACATTTCATTGAATAAACAAAAACAGGAAAATTTTGTCTAAATATGATAACTAAAATGTACATTTGAGTAAGACTAAGACTAAATTAAAAATGGCTGCCAAAATTAATACTGCTGTACGGTTAATTAATAACAATCTTATTGAAACATTGCTGAAGCGCTTCTGCTATAGTTCGCCAGCATTTTTCTTTCTTTGTTCTGTCGTGGTAGTCCCTCGATGACACATCATACAGGCAGGAGTACTGTTGCCACAGCTCCACGAACCTTTCCTCCATCTCATAATTCCACCTAGCAGCACCATCATCTCTCTTTCGTTTCGCCATGTTTGAAACCTGTGTATGAAAGAGCTTCTGTGCTGATATTGGTCAACATCACCAATGTGACAGAACTCGTCGTGGATGACAATTAAAAATGGCTGCCAAAATTAATACTGCTGTACGGTTAATTAATAACAATCTTATTGCTAAAATGTCACGTTTTCTTAGACTAAAACTAGACTAAAATACTTCAGGTTTTCTTGGACTAAAACTAGACTAAAATGTTGAGACTTTTAGTCGACTAAAAATTGACTAAAACTAAGTAGGATAAGGTTGACTAAATATGATAAAAACTAACAAGGACATTTTAGCCCGGGACTAAGACTAAGACTAAAATGAAAATAGCTGACAAAATTAACACTATCACTATAAAAGAATTGAAGGATGCAATTATGTCTGGGGCAAATACTACACTGGGGAGAGATAGGGTGTTTTATGAGTTAATTAAACAACTGGATGATATTGTACTTGGTGAAATCTTAGCTTTGTTTAATACAGTATGGGAAGAGGGTAATTTGCCCAAGGAATGGAAACATGCCGTTGTGATCCCAATATTAAAGCCAGGTAAAGAGGCATCTGATCCTAGCTCATATCGTCCAATAGCGCTCACGGCAGTGCTTTGTAAGATTATGGAGAGGATGGTAACAAATAGATTAGTATATTTTTTTAGAAACTAAAGGACTCTTTGTTGATGTTCAGAATGGTTTTAGGAATTGAAGGTCTACAATGGAATCAGTTGCAGTGTTGGATCAGGATATTAAAAGAGCATTTAGCAATAAGGAAGTAGTAGATAGTGTTTTCCTGGATATTGAGAAAGCATGTATCAGTCCAGTGTTATTTAATATAATGATTGATGATATCTTTGGTAGAATAGAGAGAGGATTTGGGCTTTCTTTATTTGCAGATGATGGAGCCATTTAGAAAAGAGGGCGTAATGTAGGGTTTGTTTTAAAACAGATTCAAAGAATGTTAGTGTTGGTGGAGGAATGGGAGAATACATGGGGATTTAAAATTTCGGCATCTAAGACAAAATTTATGATATTAGGTTTTAAAAGAAAGTTACCTAATATAGGGCTGTATTTGTATGGGTCTCCATTGGAGAAGGTAATGGCTTTTAAATTTTGGGGTGTTTGGTTTGAAAAACGTATGACTTGAGCTGTACATGTAGGTAAGATTGTGGAGAGGTGTGAAAAAGTTTTGAATGTTATGAGAAGTCTAGCTGGATGTGAGGGAGACGTTATTACTAATTTATCAGGCCATGATCAGGTCCATTATTGATTATGGGTCCTTTGAACATTATATGGATCTGCTATTAAAACTGTTTTGGATAGGTTAGATGTAGTGCAAACAAGGGCTTTGAGGATTTGTTGTGGGGCCTTCAGAACTTCCCCAGTTTCAGCTTTGCTTATTGAAATGGGAGAAATGCCCTTATGGTTAGGGCGTATTAAATTAGGACTACAGTAATGGGTAAAACTTAGTGGATGTAATTATACGTATCCAGCAAGGAGTCTTTTGCAAGAGTTTGTTGGAAGTAGGAAATGTACATTTTTTTTGTTAATGTAAATCAATGGGCTAGGAAGATGGGATTGGAACAGGGAGGTATTGCAGAGCATATTGGATGGTTACCTATGCCATATTGGGTGATGCCTGAGTTGAAAATTTAGTTTGCTTTTCTTCAGGAAAAAGATAAGTTGGAGGTGATACCAAGAATAGTGGTATATCTTAATTCAATTAATCAGAGTAGTATAATCATTTTTACAGATGGGTCTAGAGATCCAGTTAAAGGGAGAGCTGGGTTTGGGGTGTATGTGGAGAAACTAGGGTTGGAAATTGGTCAACGTATTTCGAATGGAAGCTCTGTTCTTACTGCTGAGTTAATGGCAATTTTATGGGCTTTATGGTGGATTGAAGAAGCCAGACCGAGAGAAGATTTTATCTGTTCTGACTCTGCAGCAGCTCTGGAACCTTTAAGAGCAGGGAAATCTAAAGTTCGATCTGATATTGTAAATTGCATCTTGAGTGTGTTTTTTAGAGTTGGGTTTGCTTGCAATATCACTTTCTGTTGGGTGCCTGGGCATGCTGGGGTGATAGGGAATGAGCAGGCAGATTATATAGCGAAGGAGAGCTTAGGAAGAGAAATAGATATCCATGTATCCTTGGGGAGGGTGGAACTGAGGGAAAGAGTTAAAGAGGGCTTAATAAAAGAATGGCAGAGAGGATGGGAAAAGGAAATCAAGGGTAGACATTATTTTTCTATTCAACCTAAAGTTAGGAAAATATGTTTTTGTACTTGTCCATCCCGTAGGGACTCTTAAACTGTGTAGATTGAGGTTGGGGCACTGTGGGTTAAATTATTTGTTGTACATTGTAGGAAAGCATATTTCTGGATTATGTGAATGTGGGAATATGGAAACAGTAGGGCATGTTTTCTTGGAATGTAGGAAGTATACTGTAGAAATAAAAGCACTTTTTGATAAATTGGCAGAACTTTGAGTTGAAGTGTTTTCTGTTACTTCTTTGTTTGGACACAGTGATAAGCATAAACTGATCTCTGATGCAGTTCTTCAGTTCTTGCATAATACAGGACTGTATATACGAATTTAGTTCAAACTTTGACCTGTGGAGGGCAGTAATATGCCCAGTAGCGTCTACACTGCCAGAAAGATATAAGAAGAAGAAATAACAGTGCATGCTCCGACGTCACAAGCCAAAATCTCAGTTTTCGCTGTCTACACGATAACACTGCAACCAGAGTTTTTGAAAATCTTCACCCTGTCAGGAGTTTTCAAAAATGTTCGGTTTCGGTGACCTGGGGCAGCGTTTGCGTGTAGACAAACGGCTAAACCGCATAGAAAAAGCTGCGGTTTTGAAAATAACCGCGTTCGTGTGGACAGGGCCCAAGACTATGTGCCATATTTCTAGAGAGAAGAGCGGCACCACCCTAGGAGGGATGAAGACCCTATTTTATATTTTTTATAGGTTTAAAGGGGTCACGACAAAAAAAAGTTTGAGAACCACTGATCTACTGTCAGTAAATGAGTGACATTGATTGTGTGACTCCTTGTAGAGATGGTCAGATGTTCTTCCACTGAAACTAAAAATGCTGTTTGGATCATCAGGTTTAGTTCATGAGGCTCCAGTGCTGACATTTAATATGTAATAATTTATTAAATTAAAAAAGAATGCCAAATGTCAAAATGTTTTACTGGTGGTGCCAGACTTTTGTTTTATTTTATCATTTTTAATGGGTGTAAATATACCATATGCTATTATATAACTGAAGCTGTTCTCCTCTTTTTTTTATTTATTCCACTTTTGTGCTTGTGTTCCACTTTATCGTGCAGTTATGCATTAGTTTTAATAGAATGCACTACAAAAATGTGTTTAAAGTGAATAACAAATGCATTGTCATATGTGTGCTTCATGTTTTTGAGCACCAAATGGCAGCACCATGATTTACATTCTGAGTTATTGTTCATTGACTCATTTAACCAAGGAGAACAAATTGAGGTAATAATTCAGGCTACTATTAATAGACAGTATGCTGCTGTTTGTAGTTGTTTGATTGCAAAGTTTCTAGATTAAATTATAAATTAAATTATATCTTATTATATACAGGATACAAAGACCAGTCAATATTCTGGTAAGCAACTTAGATATGAATAAGTAAAATAACTTGTAGGTAAAAAAAAAAAACAGTAAGGTAATATGAAGTAATAAAAAAATTTAAATAAAAAAACAACAACAAGGCAGTGAGTATTCAAACATACAAATAACTATTAATTATGATTTGTCAGTACTATTGTACAGTACTATGTCAGTATTATGATTTGTAATTATATTAATATTATTATTAATTATTGTTATATTTTATTAGGTTTTTTTCTGTACTTCAGTTCAGGTATACTTTTTTTTTTTTTTTTGCGTAGCACTTTTCACAAAACACATTGTTGCAAAGCAGCTTCCAAAAAATAAAGTTTATACATTTAGGAGTAGTTTGGTGGTGGTGACTTTGTCAAGGTGATGTACAGCATATGACAGAAATGTAATGTAAAAATCATGCAGTTAGTTAATGACATGTATCCAAACAGAAGCGGTGAACACTATTAACAGAAATGATTATATGTTGTGACAAAATTATAGTAATGTAAGGTAAATTTGGTAGTTCTATATGTTGGTTCAGGGTTGGCATCATCTGAGGTCCTCTGAGGGGTTGGCATCATCTCTTCTCAGGTGTTCGGTCATCTCAGATCTTCATAAGAGTTGGATCCAGACTGAAGCTGTGCAATCTCTAGTTACCTCGGGATGCCCATCCCGTGGCAGAAACAGAAATACCTATCCTAGGTACTACCAAAAATCCCAAATTTAAGGAGCGTGATTATAGCGTGATAGAAGACTGTTTAAGTATGTAGGAGCTAAACCATTTAGGGCCTTATAAATAAGTAGCAATATTTTGTAACTGATATGGAACTTAATAGGTAGCCAGTGTAGAAATTGTAAAATTGGGGTAATAGGGTCATATTTTCTTGACCTGGTAATAGGGGTGTGCGATATATATAATCTAAAATAATATTGTGATTGTTGTTTTAACAATATTCAATCTGAAATTATCAAGTATATTGCAAAAAAACAAAAACACACCAGTTTGCACTACATGATGTTGGTTAAACTAGTTCACACTTTCACTGCCTGATTTAGTCTATTAAAATACATTTAGAGTTCCCTAGAATTCAAGATAAAAAAAATCCCCCGTAGGACTGTCTTTTATACTTATATCATCTGATAGAGAATATCATACGAAGGGTGACATTTTTTTATCCAAATATCAGCACGATTGCAAATGTGATATTGATTTTATAAAACAGCTCAATAAACCAGAAGTTAATATTAAGTGACTTACATTTTAGACACAACAGTCCCTGTTTTTGCTGTATTTCACCAACAAAATTAGTTCTAAACAAAGCCACAGCAGCACTGTTTTGTGCCTCCGAGCAACACACAGCGGTGTTTCCTTACTGAATGAATCAGGCATTTGAACGAATAGTTAAATGAATGACTCAATGACTTACTCATGCAGTCACCTGCCACCACCTATTGGTGATTTAAATTTTATATTTAAAGTATATATTTCCTCTCTCTTTTTCAAAATAATTTCAATTATCAGTATTCAACATTTTGTTTTTGAAACATCAAAATATTATTTATTTTCATTCTTTTCAGTTAAATGCATTCATGTTCTGCATTAAACATTTGGTGTAAATGCATCTAAATGCCACTTCAGATGCAGCTTCTGTGCCACCTCTACATTGCAATGACAAATTTTGTTGATACTGATTTCATTTGATTAGTAACAACTCTATAGTGTCTTACTATTTGAGTTTCATCAGCATAAAAATGGAAACTAATCCCATATTTTCAGCCTGGTCTCATGTTTATACGTAGGTATTAATACGTAACATTTACAAGCACAAAACGTACACTTTTGTACGTTTTTATTAATGCTAAAACGTACAATTTAGTCGTATTTCAATGTTTAAAGCGTACAAATCGCTACGTATTTTTAGCTAAAAAACGTAAAAATATTTACGTATCTTTTATATCATTAAGATATTCGTATCAATGCATTTTTATCATTTTATCAATAAGCGATTTAGATTTTTAGACCCCTTAACCTACCCCCAAACCTAAACCTACCCATATAGTAGCGATATATAAAGGATATAAAACGCAAATGACCGAAATATGCAGGAAAATAACCATTTTAGTAACAATATAGCATTAAAATATGTTTATAGTCGCTAATTCCACTCCTACCTATAAACCTAAACATTTCTGTACAGTATAA